GTTGTTTATGTCGCGAAGCATTTCTTCATATTAGACATTTTTTCTTGACGCTTATTTTCTTACATTTATTGCCTGCCGCGATTAAATACAACTATCTGTTTATTTCTGAAACAAAAGAAAATCACCCTGTTAAGACTGAAACGCTCTTCAGATCATTATTCTTGAACATTAATGTAAAAAGTTTTGCCATATACTAACGAATCATTTGACATTTCGTTTTACAAGTATAAACAGGAAAGAATTATATTTACACTCTGTCCTTGAACATATCTTTATTGATGTTATCTTTCCATCACTTCTTTATGTTTATAAATTTCAATATAAATTATTATGAATGTAAAATATAAAGTTATTTAAGAACATAAGTTATCGATGAATTATTGCGCGTCTATACGCGTCCTGTCAGGCGATCATAACCCAATATAGATATCCAATAAGCAATAAAAGAATATATAAGTATTGTAATATAATATTTTGTTAATAATCTCTGGCGAAAGTTCGTGAACATGACCATTCCGTTATCAGTTAAAGGGCCCGACTTTACTTATGTACCTCTAATCACTTCTCTCGCTATCTATAGATATTATCAAATAGTTACGAATATTCATTTGTCGCGGATTCACTCATAAAACTAATCATAGAATTCGATGTTTTCAATAAGAACCTCTCTCGCGGATATTGATTGTACATGTAAGATTTGGCCCTCTCTTATATACATGATTAATTGTAAACTTTTAATTACATCATAGGCGCTGTCGAAATTCTTCGTAGGAGATATGCATCAGCGGAAATATTTTTAAAAATTTATTTTAAAAAAATATATATAAATCTCTTAAACTCCTACGATTATTGTATAGTAAATACAATAAATGGAAATGGCAGATTATGAATATAAATATGCGAATGCACATCGCTGCGTTTCATACCTACGGCGCGCAGCGCCTATGTGAAGTTATATGTCAGTATATGATTTAATAAGATTGTGAACAGATTTTCGCTATCAACGAATTTGCCTCGATACAGTTAAAGCGGTTTGCCAAAACAAGCTGAAACGTAAATGAAATTTAAGTAAAATATAAATTAGAGTACTAAAGACAAAGAGATAAAAGGTATAATATTACTATCATAAATTACTGAGATGCACGCATATAAATACTTTATATGTTGAGAGACTAAAAGAAAAAATACGAATATACCGGAAACATCGAAAGTCGAAATACTTCCTTCCTGCATTCCTTAGTTGAAGGAAGATACATGGTTTTTAATACATCCTACAATGATTACAGCTAGCAAGTGCAATGACATGTAATTGCCATCGGCGTGTCATGTATACTACTGTGTCACATTTTAGTAAGTATTTAATCGATACTTACCTTATAACAATACGATTCCGGCATGCTACTGATCAATGCGATATTGAGAAATAATTATTTTGTAATTATAATTCGCATAATAATAACAATTCTTGAAAGGAAGATGAATTCTGATGCGTACATTTTTGTATATATCACGATGTAGGTATGTAAAATGGCTCCACACTTAGAATTGTACGTAAGCATTACTGTTCATGGTATCTATGTAAATATGTGACTGCCTAAAATGCGAATAAAACAAGAGAATATATCACTGCACAATACTGCAGTTAGTCTTCTTAAAGTTTATTTAGCAAAGAATTTCAATTCCAAACTTTCTAATGAACATATGCCATATCTTTATATCTAATTAAAATTCGATTACTAGAACTATATATCTATAATAAAATTATTCAATACAAATTTATTCATATCCTTTTCTTGTTCCAAGATCATTTAAAATAATATCTTAATGTTAATATGATTTTATGATTTGATTGATTTATGACACAATATTTATATTTAAATTTTAAGGTCTCTTACAGTAGAGGAACAAAAAAAGTCGATTTCTTTTTTTTTTCATAAATCGGTAGTACAACGCTTCGAGATATGTTCCTAAAATTTTAGAGTAAAATTCGAAGTCTTTCGGTATAAATTCAGCGCTTGTATATATGAGTACACGGCACGCAGGTGTAATTAAAAGAAATTTTTTGTTATAGTTCTAAAATACTGTTAATGTCATTCAATTTTCATTCTAAGAAAATTTTTTTTATCTCTTACAGTTTCGATGACATTAGCTTCGAAAGAAAAAAAAATGATTTTTTCGAGGGGGTGTTTCACCTCGAGATAAGCACGAACAAAAAATATAAGTCTAATATTTTTTCATGCTTTACAATATATTCAAAGCTTATTAAAATCGGAGACATTTGGTTCCCTTATTAATAGCATGAGAGATCCGAATAAAATGACTCAAATTGTTCAAAATGAATTCCACGAGAAAGCTGAAAGATTATTGTATTGTATGTTCCTGGAATAACAGATTAATCTCCGAGCACTGTAAGTACTCAAAAACTAAATTGAAAACTTTAAACACATTTTTCTTGAAATGTGTTTTTTGCATTTTTTCAATTTTGTTTATACGATTGAAAAAAAAAAGTATTTGACCAATTGACTTTTTATAGGACTCGTTAGTTAGCTAACAGTCAACCATCCTCGATATACCCAAAAAAAATTTTAAATAAAAATCAATATTTTTATATAAAAATCAACATTAACAATTTCTTTTTGCATAAAGAAACGGCTGCTACCTAGTGAAAATCGTAACTTTTTTTCAAAGTTGCACAAAATTTTAATATATATTTTTTTTAATTTTTTAGGTTTATTTAAGATAAAAAACCATAACAATTAAAAATATTTCTTAATTTTTTGTTTCTGGCAAAGATAGGAAGTTTGCATGAAAAAAATAATACATTTTTTTTTGTTTATTATGGAAATATGCATTATCGTAAATTTATGTATAATAAAATTTATAATTTTTACTAATAGATATAGATACTAAAAAAACTAAAATAAAGTTTAATAATATTT